TTCTTGAATGGCAGGGCAGTCCCCAGAACAAAGAACGATGCGGCCCAAAATGTAGCACAGAGGCTCCGAAACCCTGCACTAGACTAACCCCATCCCTGCCACCATGTCCAGAAACTTGCAAACTCCTACCTGAAATAAACCTCTGCCATCCCTCTGACCGAGCAGTTACCCTGACCCAGAAGTCCACTTATTTGAGGAAGCCACACTAAACATCAAGCAGACGTGACAGGCCAATGCTCCATCTTCCAAGTACCCGGCTGCTCTCCCAGCAAATATTTTTGAGGGCACTCCTCAGCATCCAGAAGAGTAGATTCTTTTACAACAATTACAAAGAAAGAAAGGCTTTTACACACACACACACACACACACACACACACACACACGACCATCTTAAAAATTTCCTTGGTGGTCAAGTAGGGGTATTGGAAAAAAAAAAAAAAAAGCTGCACAGTTCCGATGGCCCAAGCATTTCCAAAATATTCTAAAGAGAGAGAGAAAGACAAAAAGAGAAACAGGAAGACTCCACAACCAAAAACAGATCCCGGGGGAATCTAACAAACAAAATTTGTCCCCAGGGGCTATCTCACAGCTAAGAAGAGTTCCTTCGTTCAATGGCACATACCATCTTTTATTTTCTTGACTGTAAAATATAACAAATATATAAGAAAACGGGAAGGGGTGCCTGGGTGGCTAGTTGGTTATGCATCCGACTCGATCTCAACTCAGGTCTTGATCTCAGGGTTTTGAGTTTAAGCCCCGAGTTGGGCTCCACACTGGGCCAGGAGCCTACTTAAAATATAAAAAAGAAAAAAAATAATAAATAAATAAATAAATAAATAAAATAAATATAAATAAGAAACTAAAAAAGAAAAGGGGGAATGTATACACATAGATCTCAATGAATGAAAACAAACCCCCAGGTAACTACAATTCCGAGGCAAGAAATCCAACCTGTGGATTGCCTCCCCATCATGCATACAGCAAAAAGGCCAGTGCGGTTTTAAAAAATTCCATCTTTTCTCAAAGATTGCGATTTATTTTACATATTTCCCATGATCACCAACTGCTAAGTTCACAGCAGTGACCACAAAGTAACATATTTCGGGAAGAGGGGTGTTTACGGAAACAATCTCATTGACAGTTAAAGTCACAAAAGCAAGTGGGAGGAAAGGCATGGAAGGTGGGTGGGTGCATGATAACTGCTAACACGACACCGGAGTTAGAATCCGAGCTTCTGTCCTCACTCTGGCATCCTGGGTGTGAACGATCTCTCATGAACCATAAAATGACTTCCTGCCACATATTTCTGGAAATATCATTGGAATAACCTCAACCCCGTCATGCATTTAAGCACAGCAAGCATCTCACACATGCATGTGCTGTAAAGACTGGGTCCCGTTTGCTCCCTGTGCCCATGCAAAGGGCAAGGTTGCAAAGGTCAGGCCTATAATAGGAGATGATTTGACTACAAACTCTAATTCCCATATTCCCAGAAACGTTCCATGAAGGTGAGATACAAGCCCACTTCCCAGTCAGTTACCCTGGGGACTTTGGGAAAAGGAGTCTCGAAGGCCCAACATGGCCCATCCTGCCCTTTCCCACTCACAGGGCTGTTCCTCCCCGATCCTATCAAGGGAAGGCCTAAGTGGGCTGTCAGATAAAAACACCTTACCCGCCAGGAGAGGGCCTTTGTCCCATCTCTTTGAAGATGAAAAGCAACAAGGTGTGTTTATTTGTGCCCATCTCCCCTCCCCTGCCCTCCCCTCCCCTCCCAGGCCTGTGAGGCTACTCAGCTAGTTACAAATCATAATAAAACCCACTCGCTCACGCCATTAACTAGATCTTTCCAGGAGAAAAGGTCAGTACTCACACTCCTGGGAGTACAGATGGGGGAAAATCCAGCGTGTTCGCTGATGGGGAGAGAATGTCAGGGAGTGGAAGCAAAGGTCAGCCCGGCAGGAGGTGAGAAGGGCTCAAGTCTGCTGTGCGAAGACAAACTGGACCCTGGACGGGCCGAGTCTTTCTCACAGACTACATTAAAAAATAACAACAGCTGAAAATCGATGCTTCACTTCCCTGACACAAACAACATAACAAAGGAAGAAAAAGCAAACACACGGAGGTGTCTGAGAAGGTTCCCGAATAATAAAGGCCTCCAAGCTGCTCCGGAGATGTCAGTGGCCTCCCAGCCCTGCAAAGACCCAGAACTCAAGAAAGAGTAGGGCTCAACTCTGACCCCGGCTTTCTCCACAGGCTCTAGAAGGCGACAGCAGTCCCAAGTACCGACTTTTATAATCTCTCGGTGTTTCAACTTCCCAGAAAGGGATGGAGAAGCTGGATATGACCTAGTAGGGTACAGTCTCTGATCCTGCTATGAACCCCCAAATGAAACCATACAGGCTTCTCTCTGGCCTGGGCAGCCACAGGCACCCGATGGCATCAACAAAAAGGACCGGACCTGTCTCTCATAACACTCTGGGTCAAGGTGGAATTCATGCTAAAAGGATGATGCTTAATGTGACACGATAAATGCATGACCCCACCCAACCCCCAACCTGCCTAGAAGTTTCTAGAGCAGCAACTATAAAGGTGATCCAAAGCCACACAGGTGCAATGAGCACAGAGAATGGAAAACCCCCCACCAGGGACATACAGGCAGTTTCACGAACCCCAAGCTCTCCGTCCTCACTAACCCTGTTCATCGTGGCCCGATTTTACACGTACACACATATTAAATAACCAGGACTGACCAGAGAGGGGCAAAATTAACTTTACAGCTATTTTTACAGATATGGAGACTGCACCAAAGCAACCCAGTACCAACTGGGAAATGCAAAAAGTTAAGTTTCCACTGAGCCACGAGCAACTCTGAGGACACCCACGAGAGCCAGCTTCCAGACTGGTCCTGCTTGGGGGTCATCACGGGGCATGTCGCAGCTCTGCACGTGGAGCGCACGAACCCAGGCAGGGCTTCGTGTGTGAGATGCCGGAAAAGCTGCCCCTGCTAACAGCCCCGCCTCATCATTCCCACCCACCTGTAGCTGCCAGTGCCCCCTCGGGCCCCCTGTCTGGAGTGGCCTGCTGGCTCAGGAGAAACAGGACACTCTCCCCCAGATGTGGCCAAAACCCACAGCAGCCACCCCCATCCCAGGGTGGCAGGAAGGCACAGCAGAGCCACATAAAGGTGGGGTCCCCAGGAGTGGGGATGATGTCATGGGTCTGAGAGGTGGGAAAGGCTGCAGGGTGCCTTCTGAGGGTGGCCAGGACGGGGATGTCAAGGAAGGTGGGAGGTCTCTCTTTCCAAATGCACATGGGGAAGGGGGGTGGCTCCGAATGAAGAGCAAACACAGCAGCGCAGACACCTCCACAGCGAACAGGTACACGCATTTGGGGAAATCGGGCATAAGCCGGATAGTGCGGAGCACCAGCGCCAGGCCAGCGGGCTTCTGCTGAAGGAAGCTCCTCGGGCCCTGTCCCCCACTTTCTGGGCATCAGCTGCCCAGAAGTAAACGTCAGGGGGCGGAGGGCGGCTGACAGCTGTGGCCGGCGGGTCAGGGCAGAGGAGGAAGGGCTCCTGGGCCGGAATCCGGAGCGTGCCCACATCAGCAGAAAAGTTCCAGGGGCCAGCACGCCGTCAGGAAGCAAGGACGCCTGCCGCTCCCCAGGACCTCAGGATGCACCGCACGCGATGCCCACCGCGATGCCCGCTTCAGGGGGCCTCCAGCCGCAGGGACCAGAAGGGGCGGTGGTAACCGCGCTGCTCCCGGGGTGGATGGGAAAGATCCATGACCCCGGGTCTGGCCCTGCTTGTCTCTCCAAGGCAAACACCGACGCCCAGGAAGGAGTGGACAAAGCACCTAACGTCCAGGGGGGAAACTGAGGCACGGGGCTACACGACAGGGGCGGGCAGGAGGAGCAGCAGGGGGGAGACGGGGGGGGGAGCAGGAGGAGCAGCAGGAGGGAGACTTGGGGGGGAGCAGGAGGAGCAGCGGGGGGGAGACGGGGGGAGCAGCAGGAGGAGGAGCAACAGGAGGGAGATCTGGGGGGGAGCAGCAGGAGGAGCAGCAGGAGGGAGACGGGGGGGGGGGGGAGCAGGAGGAGCAGCAGGAGGGAAACCAACCTGGGGGGGGAGCAGGAGGAGCAGCAGGAGGGAGACCTGGGGGGGGAGCAGGAGGAGGAGAAGCAGCAGGAGGAGGAGCAACAGGAGGGAGACCTGGGGGGGAGCAGCAGGAGGAGGAGCAGGGGGGAGACGGCGGTGGGGGGGGCAGCAGGAGGGAGACCTGGGGGGGGGAGCAGGAGGAGGAGAAGCAGCAGGAGGAGGAGCAACAGGAGGGAGACCTGGGGGGGAGCAGCAGGAGGAGGAGCAGGGGGGAGACGGCGGTAGGGGGGGGCAGCAGGAGGGAGACCTGGGGGGGGGGAGCAGCAGGAGGAGAAGCAGCAGGAGGAGGAGCAACAGGAGGGAGACCTGGGGGGGAGCAGCAGGAGGAGGAGCAGGGGGGAGACGGCGGTAGGGGGGGGCAGCAGGAGGGAGACCTGGGGGGGGAGCAGGAGGAGGAGAAGCAGCAGGAGGAGGAGCAACAGGAGGGAGACCTGGGGGGAGCAGCAGGAGGAGGAGCAGGGGGGAGACGGCGGTAGGGGGGGGCAGCAGGAGGGAGACCTGGGGGGGGAGCAGGAGGAGGAGAAGCAGCAGGAGGAGGAGCAACAGGAGGGAGACCTGGGGGGGAGCAGCAGGAGGAGCAGCGGGGAGAGCCGGGGTGGGGGGATCCGGGAGAGCTCCGTCCCCCCCGCCCCCCACACGCGCACAGGCACACACGCGCTGGAGCGACGCCCAATCGGGGCCGCGCTCGGGAGCCGGGCTGCACACAAAGCCCCGCCCGCGCCCCGCTCCGCACCCGGCGGCCGCACGCGCACACAATGGGGCGGCGCGCCCCCGCCCCCGCCCCCCGCCCGCCCCGCGCCCCGCGCCCGAGCCCGCGCCCGCGCCCCGCGCCCCGACTCACCCGCCGCGCTGCTCAGCAGCAGGCACAGCGGCCCCAGCAGCCACATGGCGCGGCCGCCCTCCCGCCGCTCCCGCCGCCCGGCGCCGTCGCTGCCCCCGCGGCCGCCGCGCCGCCCCGCCCCGCCCCGCCCCGCCCCCCGCGGCCCCGCCCCGCCCCGCCCCGCCCCCGCCCGGGTCTCCCTCCTCCTCCTCCTCCTCCTCCTCCTCCTCCTCCTGCTCCGGCCGCCGCGGCGCCTGCACCCGGGCCGCGCGCCCCCCCAACGCGGGGCTGCTTTGCTTCGACTCCAGCATCACTTTACCCCAGGGAGGGACAGAAAAAGTTTGGAAGGAAGGGCCACGTGTCACGAGGAAACAGGCGGTTTGTCCTCAGTGGCAAGACGGGGGCCCCGCGGCCAGGGCTCTGCTCAAACCCCGGTAGGGTCCCTTGGGGGTGCGGGGCACGCGGGCCAGACTCCGCGGGGCTCCTCTTCTGTGATCCTGAGAACCCCACGTGGAGGAGGGATGCTAACACCTTTAAGGGACTGACTTCATCTGGATCTCGAATACCCATACCCGTGGAACACGGGGGCCCCGATTCAAGGAAAAGAAAAAAAAGAAAAAATATATATATATATATATAAAGGCTCACGCCCAGATGCAGAGTGAACGGCTGCTCCTATGCAGCTGGAGCTCCAAGAAGCGCTGGTGAAAACTGCCAAAGAATTTATTTATTTATTTATTTATTTAAAGATTTTTATTTATTTATTCATGAGAGACATAGAGACAAAGAGAGAGGCAGGGACATAGGCAGAGGGAGAAGCAGGCTCCACGCAGGGAGCCCAACGTGGGACTCGATCCCCAGTCTCCAGGGTCAGGCCCTGGGCTGAAGGCAGGTGCTAAACTGCTGAGCCACCCGGGCTGCCCGCCAAAGGATTTAGAAGGCAGAAGAATGTAGTGGCACTTCTGTGCCCAGCTCTCCATCCTTCACCCCACCCCACCCCCAAATGTGTAAAGTTGTGTTTGCACAACCAGTGCACACAGCGTGCCTGCCTCCTGGTAATCAGGATGCAGAGTAGTTCTGCCCCAAAAAGCTCACCTCCCCCCGAAAGAAAAAAAAACAACATAATTGCCAGAAACTGGAAATAACACATGTGCCCATCAACTGGTGAATGGATAAGCAAATTGTATTATATCATTTAATGGAACAACACGAGTGAATATTAAAAAGCATGCTAAGAGAAAGATTCCAGCCCCAAAGGGGATATTCTGTATGATTCCATTTACAAGACCTGGAAGGAGGAAGGAAGCTAAACCATAGGGCCAAAATCACATCAGTAGTTACCAAGGGCTGGGTGTGTGGGAAAGAGAGGGGTGGCAAGCGGCACAGGGCGACCTTATGTGTCTGTCAAAACGTATGCAACTACATCCCTAAAAGTCAAACCTAAAAAGTTTGAATTATAAGGTAGATATGTCCTACCTGTTTGGAGGAGTCCAGAGGGTGTAGGTGCTGGGATGACTAGTCAGGGAGATTGTGGCTGGGATGCCCACATCACACTGGGGACTCACTGGAGGCGAGCTCCAGGATGCTGAGATTCAGTGACTTTTTTTTTTTTTTAGATTTTATTTATTTATTCATGAGAGACAGAGGCAGAGGGAGAAGCAGGCTCCACGCAGGGAGCCCGACGTGGGACTCGATCCCGGGTCTCCAGGATCAGGTCCTGGGCTGAAGGCGGCGCTAAACCACTGAGCCACCCGGGCCACCCTCAGTGACTTTTTAATTGTCAATTCTAGTCTGGAAACTAAAAAGCTAAAGTGGATCAGGTCGAAGTTTAGAAATACCAATGACAATTCAAAGTAATGAGAAAATGTGATGTAGGAAAGTTTAGCAAGTTCCAGAAAACATTCAGCATTCAGGGATTACATCCTGGGATCCGTGAACACTAGAGAGCATTAGGGAACTTTAAAGTTCCTAAAATTGGGGACACCTGGGTGGCTCAGTGGTTGAGCGTCTGCCTTCAGCTCAGAGTGTGATCCTGGGAGTCCAGGGATCAAGTCCCACGTCGGGCTCCCTGCGTGGAGCCTGCTTCTCCCTCTGCCTATGTCTCTGCCTCTCCCTCTGTGTCTCTCATGAATGAATAAAATCTTTTGAAAAAATAAAAATAAATTAAGTTCCTAAAATTGTGTATAAGACTTCAGGTAGAGGTGGGTATGTGCATTTTTCCAGGAAGCCCCTAGCCTTTGAGAGTGATACCCAAGAAGGCAAATAATTTGTCAGCTGCTCATTTGCCTTCGAACATTAGGAATATAGAAGAACAATGGATCTGACCCCTTATAGAAGAACCCATCTGACCCGAAACAACATTCTTGTTCCGTTAGGTTCCTTTGGGCACATGAAGTTCAATTTAGGAATGATTTAGTGTACCTGGCTCACTCTCCACATGTTTCTCTCTCTCTCTCTCTCTCTCTCTCTCTCTCTCTCTCTCTCTCTCTCACACACACACACACACACACACACACATTCTTTTAAATGTACTAATGTCCTTAAAATGATCTGAACAAATGCAAAGCTTTCTTTAACTTCAATTGTTTTTATACTGAAGCATTCCAAACCTCCTCGCCTCCTATGCCGGGCAGGAGGTGAATCCAATCTTTACAGTTCATTACTCTCCTCGTTCCTGATTCCTTAGAATCCTGTCAAAAACACAGGGCATTCCACTTCCGGGAAACATGATAGGCTCTAATGCTAATTGTTCAGGTCACAGAGAGCCAGTTGCAAGTCTTTTTCACAGTTGGTTTAATAAAAAGCAAAACCACATTGCATTTGTCACTTATTTACTAAGTGACGCACTCTGTCCTTAGATGTGTGCTTCCCACATGGCCCCCCCACTGCTGACAGAGGGACAAAGGGATTTGGTCCCTCTGTGGTCACGGTATAACGCTCTACAGCTACCCTACATGTTTTCATCATACCACACGGCAGTCCCAGCAATGCCACAGGTAGAACAGCACAAGCTAGGCATGAGCTCTGGTGGCTGGGATGTGCTCCAGTGCTCTTTCCACCTGTCACACACTAGCTTTGTGACCTTGGGCAGGTTATTAGCCTCTCTGAGCCTCCATTTCCTTGTAGGTAAAACAGGCACAGTACAAACACTCGAATCTTAGGACTGCTTTCAAGGTGAAATGAGATAATGTATGTTAACTCTTTGGCACGGTGCCTTGCACATAGTAGTTGCTTGAGAAAAGGTAGCCTGTGGTTTGGGTTCATATCACAAGGTAGCTGCTGAGGTGGCCAGTCTCCAGGATGGATCTCCAAGATCCTTGCCTTCTGGTATCTATGAGCTGTACAGTTGCCACCCACAGAGAATGGCCTCTACAACCTATGGATATTGTGGAAATGGTGCTGGGTGACTTCTAAGGCTGGGTCACAGTGATCATAGCATTTCTTCCTTGTGTCTTAGATCCCTTGCTCTGGGGAAGCCAGCCACCATGTGGTGAGGCCACTCAAGCAGCCCTATGATTCAGGCCACATGAGGAGGAACTCAGCTTCCTGCCAGCTTACCAGCCATTGGAATGAACCATCTGGGAATGGTTCAAGCCTCTAGCGCCATTTTCAGATGAAAACAGTCTTCACGAGAAATCCTGAGTTGGAGCCACCCAGCCACTCCCAAATTCTTGATCCACAGAAGCCATCAGAGATCATAGAGTGTATTGTTGCTATAAGCTACTACTTTCAGGGTAAGCCACTCCGTGGCAATAGAGAACTAGTATATCTGCCCTGAAGATCATCTGTGGGACTGACTTCATGGTTTTTTTTTTTAATTTTTTTTTATTTTTATTTATTTATGATAGTCACACAGAGAGAGAGAGAGAGAGAGAGGCAGAGACATAGGCAGAGGAAGAAGCAGGCTCCATGCACCGGGAGCCCGACGTGGGATTCGATCCCGGGTCTCCAGGATCGCGCCCCGGGCCAAAGGCAGGCGCTAAACCGCTGCGCCACCCAGGGATCCCTGACTTCATGGTTTTATAGGATGTTGGAAATGAATGAATACATGGAAAACACTTAGAACTTGGCCTAGTACATAGGAAGCACTCAATAAATGTTAGTTGGGTTGTTACCATGGTTTGCTTTTCCATTATTGTCATCATCACTACCTTTCTTCCAAAGCATCTAAGATTCAGGCCTTTCAAAGTTCAAAAAGACCATTTCACACCTGAAGAAGAGTTGGAACCATCTGGAGGCGTAAAGAGAACTAGTAAAAGGACTAAGGAAAAACTGTATTTACAGGGAGTTTATGGCAAACAAGGAGGCATTTGCTTCATTAAGCTTCGTGAAAACCAGGCAGAGGGGTAACAGAAGAAGCTCTATTTCCGGAGTCCCATCCTCACATACTCCCTGTTCAGTGCTCCCCCCTTTCCTTCTTGTGATTTCCCTTCTTCTCTCTTGTATGTGAGGAGCACAGAAATTCACTTGAGGATGCAGCCAAGGAAGGCTTGCTCCACTCTGGACTGGAGTAGCTAGTGGAAGCTGCCTACTGAAAGACTCTGTAGCCAAAGAAGACACTTTTTCTCTTCAAAAAAACACCACACACACACACAACGTACACACACACTAACCCCAACAATCAGGAGACCACAGAGTCAAGTGACTGAGGGAATAGGCTTCAAGGTGGTTTGATACACCTGAACTCTTAGGTCCCACCATCTACTAGCTCTGCGAGGCTGAGAAAGTCACTTTATTAGAGCCTCAGTGGCCTGAGAAATGGGCCTAATAGTCGCACCTGCCTCCTAGAGCACTTGTCTGAAGCAAAAGGACCCTTACGCATTCCCTTAGTCATCTGACAAACATTCATTGAGAACTGGCTCTGTGGCAAGCACTGCTCGAGGCTCTGGATTGCGGCAGTGAGCAAAACCACGTCCCTGTCCTCATGGAGCTCATGGTCTAGTTGGGGAGGTGGACACATGTCAAACCGAGCAACGACCACATAGTATAACACCTGGTATAAGGGTTATGGGAAGCATTTACGAGGGCTCCTAGGTCAGAGCTCTGATTTCTTCAGTTCTTCTGACCTAGGACCTCCGTGTGAGGGGGAAG